GAGCCCGTGAGCCACAACTACTGAGCTGACACACCACAACTATTGAAGCCTGCACGCCTAGAACCCGTGCTCTGCAACAAGAGAAGCCACCGCAATAAGAAGCCTGCGCACTGCAACGAAGAGTAGCCTCCACTCACTGCAATGAAGAACCAATGCAGCCAAAAATAAAATATAAATAAATTTATTTTTAAAAAAAGAGAAAAAGAAAGAGAGAAAGAGAAAGAAGGGAGGAAGGAAGGAAGGGAGGAAGAAAGAAAGAAAGAAAGAAAGAAAGAGAGAGAAAGAAAGAAAGAAAAAAGAAAGAAAGGAAAGAAAAGAATGAAAGGAAGAAGAAAACATTGCTCATAGTAAGGGTTTTTTGGTTTTTTCACTGAGCACTGGGGATTGAATATATATTTCATACTGAGGGTCATGATCAAAGATGTTTGAAAGCTGCTGCTCTAAGGTGACCTCTGGTGCCTTGGTGGGAGGGGGAGGGCTGAATTTGAACTTTAGGGCTTGCCTAGACAGGACACAGTGAGCAAGGGACAGAGAAGAATGGACACCTTTGTTACATTTTAGTCATTCAACAGATTTATTGAACATCTACCTATGTGCCAGGCCATATTTAAGACACTGAGGATACAATAGTAAAGAAGAACAAAGTCTAATCTCCAGGACAAATAAAACGCATGGATATGTAATATAATGTTGTTAAGTGATAAGAGCTACGAAAAAGACTCACGTGATATAGGAAGGAGGGCTTGATGGAGGTGCTGATCTAGAAAGGATGATGGAGGAGGTCTCTTGAAGGTGTGGCACTGGAACTGTGCCCTAGATAAAGACAGCAAGCAAACTGTGAGAATATCTGGGGAAGGAGCTTTCCAAACAGAGGGACAAGCAAGGGCAAAATTTCCTTTTATACCATGAACTCTGCTCTCTCCCCTCACCAAAGAACTGTACACAATTTACATTCTGAAACGGTGCTACCAGTATATTTACAGATCCTCACACATGATAAAATATTCATTAGCTCCTACTATATGATGTAGGTGGGAACGTATTTATTTATTTAGTTGATTTTGGGCTGCATTGGGTCTTCGTTGCTGTGAGTGGGCTTTCTCTAATTGTGGTGAGCAGGGACTACTCTTCTTTGCAGTGCGTGGGCTTCTCCTTGCCGTAGCTTCTCCTGTTGCAGAACATGGGCTCTAAGCGCACAGTCTTCAGTAGTTGCAGCACGTGGGCTCAGTAGTTGTGGCTCACAGGCTCTAGAGCTCAGGCTCAGTAGTTGTGGCGCACGGGCTTAGTTGCTCTGCTGCATGTGAGATCTTCCTGGACCAGGGATCGAACCCCGTGTCCCCTGCATTGGCAGGCGGATTCCTATCCACTGCACCACCAGGGAGGTCCAGAACGTATTTATTTTTTAAAAATTGGGATTATCTGTACATTCTGCTCTATAATCTGACTTTTCACTTGCTTATGACATTTGGTTTTGGTCTTTTTTTTTTTTTTTTTAACTTTTTAGTAGTGAACATTTGGGAAAGTCTATTGGAAAGGACAATACCCGGCCTTTACTCTCCCGCAGGCCTGCTCTTTAATGGCAGACCCAGCCCTTGTCTTTCTGCGTGTCTCTGGTGTCAGGGCTGGAAATCATCTGACTGGGGTCTGCATGGTTTCCAGCAGTGGCAAAAAGACTCTCAACACTGTGACTTCTTTTCTCCTGTGATGTATTCACAGCACAACCGGCCTCAGCTGTCACCTTTAAGAGGGACTCGGCAGCCTGCCAGTGCAGACAGCCTCAGACCACATGTGGTGAAGTCCAGGCCCCTGAGGAGAGAGAGTCCTCTCTGCTCTGGCCAGAGCAGATCCAGAAGGGACTGGGTGAGACCAGATCTTGCCTCCGGAAGGCTCTCAGGACCAGCCCACTTCAGAGGAGAGACAATATCAAACTGGGCAAGTCCAGGAGAGAATAACCAGCTCAGGCAGTAAAAAGCCAAGAACTAGGATTATATTTATACAAGCAGAGTTAGAGGCACTGGTAGAGTTAAGCCGAGGGGATGAAAGGTGTAGGGGAAGGAGGGGTATGTGAGCTTATGTTGCTTACACCCACAGCATTCCATCTTGTGTCCTAATCGGCTGTCCATGACTGTCCCCCTCTTTCATTTTTTATCCAGAAATACTCAATGATTAAAAAAAGAAAGAAAAGAAATACAACCAGGGGAAAGAAATCTTAACATCATAGAGGATCACCTCCATCCTTACATGCATCAGTATTTGGAGGGTGAGAAGTGAACGTAATGACCAGAAGTGGTTGTTTAAAAAGAAAAAAAAAAAAACGAAGAGAAGAAAAAAATACAACCATGCCAAAAAAGACTCAATGAGCATCTACTATGTGTTAGAACTGCGCTGTCCAATACCATAGCCACTAGCCACATATGGCTACTTAAAGTTAAAATTGAATACAACTTAAAAACCAGTTCTTTAGTTGCACTAGCCACATTTCAGGTGCTCAGTAGCCACAGGCGGCTTGGGGCCAGGTACTGGACAGTGCAGATACAGGACACTGACATCATCTTGGAATGTTTTATTGCAGCGCTGTGCTAGACCCCGGGTTAGACACCAGCAATAGATCCAGGTGTAATCAATCAGTCACTGCCCACACAGAACTCCCAGTCACGTGAGAAAAACAAGCAAATGAGAAATTATGCTAGGCTGGGGAAAGTGTGTGGTCTTTGTAAGCACGAAAGGAAAGATGGCTAACTCAGTCTGGAGGAAGACAGGAATGGTAGGCAAGACTTGAGGGTAGAGAGGGAGATGGTCTGTAAGCTGAGGATAAATAGTTAGGCAGAGATAGGTGAGGGAAGTAAGGAGCCCTAGGCAGAGGGAACAACTATGCAAGGATTCACAGGTGACAGCTGAAGAGCCAAGGAGCTGCAAGCAGTTTCGACCATTGTAGCATATAGTATGGGTGGTAGAGGTGGAAGATGAGGCTCAAAAGGTATATACCAAACCTTATAGACCTAATGAAGGAATTTGGATATTAGCTATCTGTTGTGTATAAGAAACCATCCCAAAGCTTAGCAGCTTAAAATGGCAACTGTTTATTTGCTCACATTTCTGTGGGTTGGCAAATTGGGCTGGGCTGAGCTCAGCTGGGCTGTTTTGCTGATGGTTACTCCTGGGGTCGCAGTCATCTGATTGCTCAGCTGGGGCTGGATGGTCTAAAATGCCATATGTCTGGCATTCGGTGCTACCTATTGGTTGGGCCATGTGTCTTAACCAGGCTTGCCTGGGCTTCTTCCCATGGCGGCAGTGTTCCAAGGTGAGAGCAGAAACTACTAGAACTTTCGAGGCTTAAATTCAAAAGTAACACAATGTCACTTCCACCACATTATATTGGTCAAAAGAAGTTACAAGGCCAGCTCTGATAGGAGAAGCTACAACAAATTTGTGGCCATTTAGATCCATTACACGCTGGGGTGATGTTGGCCTGAACCAGGGCGGTGGATAGAGAGAAGTGGAGAGATTTTTATTTTTAGGATATTTTGGAGTCAGAATTGAGAGGTCTTGGGGTTTGTTCTGGAACAAAGAGGAGAGGGTGAAGTTACAAATGACTCCTAGATCCTTGGCTTGCGTGATTGATGAATGGTGGTGCCCAGTACTCAGAGAGAAAAGAGGAAGAACAGGTTTGGGGGGAAGATAATGTTTCCAGTGTGAGTCATGTCAAGGAGAAGTGTCTTTTAGACAGCTAGGTGGAGATGGGCAGGAGGCAGGTGTATATGCAGATCTAAGGAGAAGTCTGGCTAGAGATACCAGTTTGGGAGTCTCAGGTGCCTTAAGCCTAAAGCATCTTCCAGAGGGGCTGCATCCCCAGGGCATATTACCGGCAGGGATCTGGTAAGTCAACTCTGTGGCTGCACTGAGCCTAGCCCAGGGCAAAGCAATCAGTCTCTCCTGATTGCCAGGCTGTTATTGAGTTTCTAGGGAGAGCCCTCAGCTCTGAACTAGATCAATGTTGCAAGTGACAACAGCTCCTGTCAGGCGGGAGGTCTCCTAACAACAGGCCACTGACTAATAAAGTAATGAATGCATCAACACTGAGGCAGCATCAACAGGGGCTAGAGGAACCCTGATGGGGAGGCTGTGGAGGGGATTCCCTCTCTGGGTTGGATGATAGACGCCATGGCCAGCCCTGACATTCTATGAAGGTACATTTCCCTCACCATCCCAACCTCCACTCCCACAGACACCTAACTTTCAGAAACTGCACAAGTCGTCATAGAAGACAGTTCTGCTGGGAGATCAACACTGCAGGAGGCACCTATTAGGGTGTGAAAGAAATGTTGGCTAAGGTCCTTGCCATTCATTCATTCATTTATTCATTTGTTCATTCATTCAACAAACATTCAACAAGCCCTTAGCAAACCCTGTTCTCTGTACTAGGAATACAGAGATGAATAGACTCTAGTCTAGAAGCAATTCGACTGCAACTACAAAAACTTTGTCTTGTAGCTGCTGTCAGTTTCCGGAACTGTCTTCCCATTGGACCTCAAGAAGTACTGCGGGGTCTCTTTGCTATGGTGAAGGGCTATAAAGGTTTGATGAACGAAAGAATGAACGGAATAGGGAAGTGGGAGACCCGGGGAAATGTACAAAGAGGGATCTCTGCCTGGGTGGTATCAGGGAAAACGCCAAAGAAATAAAGCAACATCTCTATCTGGATGAAGAATAAGTTAAAAGAGGACATTTATTAAGTGCTTTCTCCGTGGCTATTACAGTGATATCCTCTTTCCTTGGATTATATAGATTCTCTGGCAGCGCGGTCTTGGGCATGTCGTTCCTATTCTCTAGAACCTCGTCCACGCACTGTTGCAGTAAGAAGGCAGGGCGGGGCGCTCTCGGCTCGACCCCGGCAGACGTCAGGCGAGAGGAACGGCGATTCGGTGGCCGGCGAGGGCGCCCGGAGGGTTTTCGCTGGAACTCCAGCCCTAGCGACGCGCGCCTTGTTGCTAAGGGCGGAGGCGCGGCAGGCTGTGGACCTTGGAGGCTGCGGATGCCCTCCGGCTCGGCGTCCTCCGTCGGCCTCAGCTTCCAGCCCGACCGGCCGGCCGGAGGGTATGGAGCCCGAGGCGGGAGGAAAAGGCGCAGCTGGCGGGAGGGGAGGTGGGAGCCGTCGCTCTCTCTGAGCCGAAGCCTCTTGCCTGACCGAAGAGGGGAGGGGGTTCCCAGGTCCGGCCTTGCGTTGGGTGGCGTTACATCCAGTCTTGGGCAAACACCCCTCCACCCACTCCTACCCCCGACCCCCATCAAAAATAAGCTTTGGCCATACGCTTAGAGAGGGCGAGGGGCATTTGTGATCTGAACAGCCAGAAAGGAAAAACTGCGCACAGGTTGTCCCCAAAACTTGGGGCAACCTTGGGAGTTCTGACCTAGTACTGATTCCCTGACTGACTTTGGGCAAGACGCTGTTATTCTCTGAACCTCTGTACCATTAGTGGGTCAAATCAGACCGTTTCCCACTTGCTTCTGGTTTTGTTTCTGTTTGAGCTTTGATTTAGATTCCTTGGTCTTCCAGAGTGTAGTTTAGATGTGTGCAGAGGGAGATGTGGGGAGAGGGAGGGGGATATGAAATCATCATTTACATGAACAGTGGACCAGGAGTCCAGCTGAATAAGGTCCAGTACCCCATCTTCGCACCTGTGTGACCTTTAGCAACTCATGACTCTGAGTCCCAGTTTCTTCATGGAAAATGACAGGTGGGTATATTCTGGAATATATCAAGAAATGTTGTACTGGAGAGTTAAAAGAGTGTTCTAAGAGTTATGTTTAGAGTGACCACTGAGGGACTTCCCTGGTGGTCCAGTGGTTGACTCCGAGCTTCCACTGCAGGAGGCACGGGTTGGATCCCTCGTCGGGGAACTAAGATCCCGCATGTGGCGCGGTGCGGCCAAAAAAAAAAAATAGTGACCACTGAGTATCTCAAAGCCTTTGAAAAGCAAATTGGGGCAGAAATGGGTCCTGGGATTCAGATTTAGAGATTTAGGCCTGATTCCACCTTGGAACCAACAAGGACATTGAGAGCCATATTGAATTGCAGGGTTTCCCAAGTCCTCTGTAGACTTTCCAGGCCTGATATCTGGGACAGGGCAGGGTAACTGCCTGAAGGATCTGTTGTTGGAGAGTTGTAAAGGACTTCATGTTGTTGGGTCCTTAAAAAGCTTCTTGCCAAGCAGACTCTCCCACCTTAGTATTTCATTCATTCATTCATTCATTCATTCAAGAGATATTTGCCTTGCATCTGTTTTCCCAGGCTATGCTTAAAGTGCAAATACAAAAAACGAACAAGACATTATCCCTCCTCTCAAGTATAGTGCATGTTCACAATATAAACCATGGCAGGTAACTGAACAGTATTTTCATTTCTTAGTCTGCTCATAATAAATTACAACATGGACATTATTCAAGTACATATATTTTGTTCTCAAGGCTTTAAATTGCCTTTTACTACATAAGATCGAACATAATGAACTCTTAGCCTTAGAGTGATCAGTCACTCTGGTCAGGAGACATCATTGGCTTCAGTTTAATATCCTCCAGACTCATTTCCACTTGCATATGTTCTCTGTGTATATTTGTAATGTAAATTTAATATATGTGTATTAAGAGTAGAATTAATAAGAGTGAAATTGCTGCTTTCAGCATTGCTATCACTGTTAATCTAGTAATCATGCTAGTAGTCATCATTTGTTCCTAACAGTTTGCCAGGTTGAACCAAGAGTTTAGAATGCACTAGCTTTTGCAGAGATGCAGTGTAGTATGCTGGTAGGGAGCAAAGCCTCTGGAGTCTGAATGCCTGGATTCAGGTTTCAGCTCCAGCGCTTCTTTGCAACTTATTTGTAAACTTGGGCAAATTACCTGACATCTCTGTACCTGACTTTTCTCATCTGCAAAATGAGGATAGTAACAACATGTATCTAAGAGGCTTGTGGAATAGATTAAATGAGTTAAATATAAAGCGCTTACAGAGTCCTTGGCACATTTTAAGTGCTATTTTTAATCTTCACAGAAGCCCAATGATAGTTATTATCCCATTTTACACATAGGAAACTGAGACTTAGAGAGGTCCAGCAACTTGCCCTAGGCCGCAGTATAACTGTAATTCAAACCTAGGCCTCATTTCAAGGCTAATGCACCTAATTAAATATTATTCTGACTACTTTATGCTGCTCTAAATTATGAGAATAAGCCATGCTATCAAACAATAATTAGAATTTATTTGAATTCTTTTTTTTAAATAAATTTATGTATTTATTTTTGGCTGCATTGGGTCTTTGTTGCTGCGCGTGCGGGGCTTTCTCTAGTTGCAGAGAGCGGGGGCTACTCTTTGTTGCGGTGCGCGGGCTTCTCATTGCGGGGGCGTCTCTTGTTGCGGAGCACAGGCTCTCTGCTCTCGGCACGCGGGCTTCAGTAGTTGTGGTTCACAGACTCTAGAGCACAGCCTCAGTAGTTGTGGCGCATGGGCTTAGCGCAGGCTTCAGTAGTTGTGGTTCACAGACTCTAGAGCACAGCCTCAGTAGGTGTGGCGCATGGGCTTAGTTGCTCCGCGGCATGTGGGATCTTCCTGGACCAGGGATCGAACCCTTGTCCCCTGATTGGCAGGCAGATTCTTAACCACTGCACCACCAGGGAAGTCCCTATTTGAATTCTTAAAATACAGTTGTTGGGACTTCCCTGGTGGTCCAGTAGTTAAGACAACCTGCTTCCAGCGCAGGGGGTGTGGGTTTGATCCCTGGTTGGGGAACTAAGATCCCACATGCCTCGGGGCCAAAAAAACAAAACATAAAAACAGAAGTAATATTGTAACAAATTCAATAAAGGCTTAAAAAAATGGTCCACATCAAAATAGAGTTGTTAAAATGCAATAAAACTGTGTTTTTTCTTTGTAGATGTTGATAATGGAAGTTCTGGGCCAGAAATCAGGAGGTCTACCTAGTTAGAATTTTGAGCAAATGATGTTTCTGCCCACTTTCTCCAGATCTTTAAATAAAGAGTTTATATGTGATGATTTTGAAAAGCACTTCCATCTCAGATTCTATGATTCATCTTAATAAAGTATTATTTTAAACAGGAAAAATTGCCTTTCTCACAAAAACAGAAAGCTCTGAAGTAAGCAGTCACCTCTGAAGATTTTTGATGAACAGAAGTACTATGAGTAAAATTAAAATATTTAATGATGAATTTAAATATAACCTATTTTGCATATTTTAAAAATAGTTGTATAATTAACATTATGGTATAGTTTCCCTAATTATTGGAAATGTGCAGTTATAAAATCTTGGAATTTTGCAAAATAGCTCTTCCTTTGTGAGAGAAAATACACTTAATCTGTTTAATTAACAATCTCTTGTTTACCTTGTAAATCTCCTTTCAGTGCAAACATATGCTTAGAGAAGAGATTAATTTAAGTGTCTTTTCACTAATTACAGAGATTAGGAAGTGGCTGCCTGGACTATTTTCCAAAGGATAAACTTTACAAAAGTATTGAATACAGCAGCTCACCGAGAAGATCCTACTGGTTTGGTGGTAAGTAATTCTAAAGGTTTTCTTTTCCTTAGAATGTCCCATGAATACACTTCAGATGGAAGTATGGCTCTCAGAAGATACCAGCTAAGAATCCAATCAGTTTTAAGCACAGCCAATCCATTTATAGCATATGCAGTTTCCAGTGACCTAGATCTATGGATGCCATCTGTCCTTAGTTTGATGACAGGGTTGAAAAATGGGTTAGGTTGGCAGATAGGAAGCCCTGCAACCTCTGTCTAACTACAAACAATACAACATTCCAAGCTTTTTGAAAACTATCCTGAAATTTTTCCTGTGGGCATATTTGTGTTACCTGAAAAACTGGATTCCCCTCTTGGTGGGTGTCAAGCCAAAAGACACAACCAAGCCAAAGAGCTTGGAGAGAAGGAAGGATTTAGTACTTGCAGCAAGAACACCAGGGATATTTCCCAAAACAGTGTCTGTCTGAGCAGCAAAACTGGGGAAGTTTTACGATAAGGGTGCATGCATATTTATGAAAGGGCTCTGGTGGAGTATGCATATTCATGAGGGGCTTGAGCAGAGGAGAATTCAGCCTAGAACTGGGGCAAAGGCTGACAGAGTTTCAGCTCTAGTTGGTTGAAGTCATCAGGGTTAGCAAAGGTCAGCACCATCATTCCTTAAGTTCCAGTTAGTCTTGGGGTTGAGTGCTTGAGGGGGTTTTGGATCCTGCAAAATAGCTCAAGAATGTGCCTCAGGCTAACCTTTACCTTCAAAACAGAACTGGGAGTCTTTACAACTGATTTATTATCTCCCTGACCTGGTCAAGAGCAAGCCTTGTGGCCAGGCTTAGATCACAAAATGGCTGAGGCCTAAAATGGCTTCTCTTACGTCAAAGAAATTATGTCTGGTTCCGTTCCTCTGAGGACCCTCTGCCCTGTCTGCCGATGCTTGTGCTTGTTATAGAGAATCCTACAATGTCTGAACTAGAAGGGACCTTAGGTTCGCTATTTGACAACAAATGTGTTTGTCACACTGTGCAAGCCACTTGAAGTACAGAGAAGAATATGAGAGTCCTTCCTCTTCTGGAGCATATAGTCTACTAAAAATCATTTAATCTGGTGTCCTCATTTATAGATGAGGAGGCTGGGGCACAGAGGGGAGGATAGAGGAGCTCAAGGACACACAGTGAGATGAAGCAGGGCTGGGGCTAGAGCCCAGGGCTCCTGATGCCACTCACAGTGTTCTTTCCACTGCATTTGCTTCTACACTGGTGTCAACTTAAAAAATATTTACAACCTAAAAGTTGAGAGTTATATTTTATTCGGCAGGAATTTTTAGGACTTCAACTCGGGAGGCAGCATCCCAAGTAGCCCTGAGAGAACTGCTCTGAGGAGTCGAGGGGGGAGCTAGGATATATAGGAGTTTTGCAACAAAGGGCAGGTAGTCGGGAACATCAAAAGATTACTGTTATTTAAAGAAAACCATATATGTCAAGTTAAGGAATTTAGGGCTTTTCTAGGTATGGGAAAATGCAAGAGTCTGGGCTCACTGAAATCACTCTTTTTTTTTGAAGATTTATTTATTATTTATTTATGTATTTTATTTATTTTTGGCTGCATCGGGTCTTAGTTGCGGCATGCAGGATCATCGTTGGGGCATGCGGGATCTTTCGTTGCGGTGCACCAGCTCTTCATTGTGGTGCGCCTGATCTCAGAGAGGCAGCAGTGAGTGGTGGTGTGAAGCGAGATCTTAATTCCCTGCCCAGGAACTGAACCTGGGTAACCTGGATGAAAACCAGGAATCCCAGCCACCACACCCCCTGGCTCTTGCCCCCAGTAAAAAATACATTTCTCACGGAGGCAAAACTGTAAAAACAGGTACAAAGTTTATCGTTAGAGACATAGCACAGCAACAAGTGGGAGAGCACACAGAGAAAGTTTGTTAAGATAGAAGCAAGGCAGAGATGCACACCCAGAGAGAAAGGGTGCGGGCATCCTCCCTAATGAGGAGGAGCGAAGTAAAGAGGTGGTTAGGTCATTTATATAGGGCAATTCTTCCGGGTCTTTGTTTACCTTTGGCCAATTATCTGGTTTCTTTTTCCACACGTGACCTGCCTTAGGAGTCTCTATGACATGTGTGTGCAACGTTTTTCCAAGATGGATTACAGCCCAGAGGCCTATGGGACAGCCTTAGCATCACATATTACATCACATATTATGGGGTGGTGCCCCCTCCTTTTTTAAATTTTTTAAAATTTTTTGGTCTTCATTGCTGTGTGCAGGCTTTCCCTAGTTGCGGCGAGCGGGGGCTACTCTTTGTTGTGGTGCGCGGGCTTCTCATTGCGGTGGATTCTCTTGTTGTGGATCACGGGCTCTAGGTGCACGGGCTTCCGTAGTCGTGGCATATGGGTTCAGTAGTTGTGGCTCACGGCCTCTAGAGCTCAGGCTCAGTAGTTGTGGCTCACGGGCTTAGTTGCTCCGTGGCATGTGGGATCGTCCCGGATCAGGGCTCAAACCCGTGTCCCCTGCGTTGGCAGGCGGATTCTTAACCACTGTGCCACCAGGGAAGCCCCCCAACTTTTTTGACCACCAAGGAGGCTTTCTGCGCATGTGCAATGTTTTCCATGCCCTAAGGATGATCTCTTGATCTTTTAACAGGGTTTAGTCCTACTCTGTCCCTGCCATAAAAATGTCCAATGTCTGGTGATTTACCCTATTTCTGTTGCTGGTTTTTATATTGAGGTGCAGATCTCGAAATGTAGACAGGAGTCTGGTCATAAATGTGTAGTCCGGAGCCCATTTGTCTTTTGCCTCAGGAAATGTAAATGGGGCTGGTAATGAATGTCCGGCCTGGAGCCCATCTTCTTCTCACCCCAGGAAGTGTGAACGGGAGGCCAGTTGTAAATGTCTAGCCTGGAGCCCATCTATCTCCTGCCTCACGCAGGCTTGTCACTAGTTGTGGCATGTGGGTTTTCTCTTCTTTAGCTGTGGCACGCAGACGCCAGGGCACATGGGCTCTGTAGTTTGGGGCATGCAGGCTCTCTAGTTGAGGCACAAGAGCTCAGTAGTTGTGGCACGTGGGCTTAGTTGCCCCACCGCATGTGAGAGCTTAGTTCCCCGACCAGGACCCGTGTCCCCTGCATTGTAAGGTGGATTCTTTACCACTGGACCACCAGGGAAGCCCCTGAAATCACTCCTTTGATATGCAGGATACTGGGGCCAGTATCCTGTGTTTTCATATCCTGAGTTTCCTCTGGGCTTACCAGCTCACCATAGGCTGATGACTGTGACATCCTTTGTTTACTGATATGGCAGGAAATATTCCATTTCTCACTGGTTACCTATTCTTGTCAGGAGGTCAATTCTGGCAACTTTCAAATGTAGGCTGAAATTCTTCTGGAAAACTGTGGTGGCTTTTTTGTTTTAAGTGTTTTTTTTTTTAATCTATTTTATTGAAGTATAGTTGATTTACAATGTTGTGTTAATTTCTGCTATACAGTAAAGTGATTCCGTTATACATATATATACATTCTTTTTTCATATTTTTCCATTATGGTTTATCACAGGATATTGAATATAGTTCCCTGTGCTCTACAGTAGGACCGTGCTGTTCATCCATTCTATATATTATAGTTTGCATCTGCTAATCTCAAATTTCCGATCCATCCCTCACACACACACTGCCTCCCCCGGCTCCTTGGCAACTGCAAGTCTGTTCTGTATGTCTGTGAGTCTGTTTCTGTTTCGTAGATAAGTTCATTTGTGTCATATTTTAAATTCCATGTATAAGTGATATCATATGGTATCACTTTCTCTTTCTGACTTACTTCACTTAGTATGATCATCTCTAGTTGCATCCATGTTGCTGCTAATGGCAATATTTCATTCTTTTTTATGGCTGAGTAGTTTTCCATTATATATATGTACCACATCTTCTTTATCCACTCATCCATTGATAGACATTTAGGTTGCTTCCATGTCTTGGCTGTTGTAAACAGTGCTGCTATGAACATTGGTGTGCACGTATCTTTTCGAATGATAGTTTTCTCCGGATATATGCCCAGGAGTGGCGTTGCAGGATCATACTATTTTTAGTTTTTTGAGGAACCTCCATACTGTGGAAAGCTGTGGTTTTTAAAGGGAATGATATGGGACTGCCCTGGTGGTCCAGTGGTTAAGACTCCGAGCTTCCACTGCAGGGGGCCCAGGTTCAATCCCTAGTCGGGGAACTAAGATCCTACATGCCATGCGGCCAAAAAAAAAAAAAAGGTAATGATGTGATGGAGAATACTTGGTGAGTTTTAGCTGCTGTTTCTCCCTGTAGACTGTTCTTCCTAGAACTAGGTAGGCTGGTCATGCCCATAAGCGACTCATCTCCTAGAATTTCTTTAAGCAGAGCCCCAGAAGAGATGGGGACTGGGTTCTCCCACCTCCACCCTCTGGCATCTCAGGGGACAGCTAGTTGCAGAGGAACATTACCCAGAGTAGCTGAGATTAGGTCCTAGTCACGTACCTTCAGTCCTAGCAGATGTCCACACTGGCCACATCTTCTGGTCTCTTTTTTTTCTCTGTTTCACCAGCAACCAGTATAGGACCTACACAAATTAGGTGCTTAGGGGGTGTTTCCTGAATGAGTGTATGCATGAGTATCTCTCTTTCTCTTTAGTTCTCGCCTTGATAGTTGTTGGGGGTGATGCAAGTAAATCTAGAAAACATTTAATAATTCTTTTTATTTGAATATAGTGTATCATCCATTATTGACATTATTTAATTTCTAGGCCAGTGGCTCTCAAAGTTTTTGGCCTCAGGACTTCCTTGCACTCTTAAAAATTACTGGGGACCTCAAACAGCCTTTGTTTATATAACTTGTAGATTGGATTCTACTCTGCCACCTCCTTTTGACATTAAAACTGAGATATTTTAAAAATAGTTACATATTAACTCATTAAAAAAATAAAACTATTGCATGTAAACATAAATAACAATTTTACGAAAAATAAACATACTTTTGAAAACACAAAAAATTTTGGTTGGAAGAGAGTGGTATTGTTTTACATTTTTGCAAATCTCTTTACTGTTTGGCTTAAACAGAAGACAGTTGGAGTCTCATATCTGCTTCTGCATTCAATCTATTGCAGTATGTTGTTTGGGTTATAGTATAAGAAGAAAATCAGGCCTCACACAGAGACATAGTTGGAAAAAGGAGTAGCGGAAAGAGGAGTATCTCACAGACTCCCTGAAAGGTCTCAGGAATCCCCAGCAGTCCTGAGATCACACTTTGAGAACTACTGGTCAGGTCATCAGCTGTATTGTCTCATTTAGTGTCACTGTCTCCCACATCTCATTCTTACTACAGAATAACCTCATGACCCTGGCACACTGATTTAGAGAAGTGTCACAGTGAAATTATTTAATAGCAATCCGGCAAGCTAGGAAGGTTATATAGCCTTTTAGAATAACTAAGGCTCTTTTTCAAGAAGCTTTATTACTGGTGTAAATTATTCTCTCTCTCTCTTTTTTTTTTTGGCCACACCTCGTGGCTTGCAGGATCTCAGTTCCCCGACCAGGGATTGAACCCGGGACACAGCAGTGAAAGCCCGAATCCTAACCACTAGGTCACCAGGGAACCCCCTCATTATTTCCAAATACACACTCTTAGTATTTATTTTATTATGGCAGAATATATTTACATAGCATACAACATTTACATAACATAATAATAAATTTATTAAATAAATTTGTTATTATTATTTAGTACATAGACAACATTATGCAACCATCACCACTGTCTAGTTCCAGAACATTTTCATTGCCCCAAGGCAACTTTGTGCCTATTAAGTAGCCACTCTCCATTACCCCATCCCGTGGCAACCACTAATCTGCTCTCTGTCTCTATAGACTTGCTGATTATGGATATTGCATAGAGATGGATTCGTACAATATGTGGCGTTTTGTGACTGGCTTCTATTGCTTAGTATTATGTTTTCAAGGTTCATCATGTTATACTATGTATCAGTACCTCATTCCTTTTTTTTTTTTTTTTTTTCCACTGGGCCACGCAGCTTGCAGGATCTTAGTTCCCCTACCAGGGATTGAACCTGGGCCCTTGGCAGTGAAAGCGCAGAGTCCTAACCACTGGACTGCCGGGAATTCCCAGAACTTCATTCCTGTTTATGGCTGAATAATATTCATTGTAGGTATCAACCTCATTTTGTTTATTCATTTATCTGTTGATGGATATTTGGGTTGTTTTCACCTTTTGGCTATTGTGAACCGTGCTGCTCTGAACATACACGTATAAATTTTGGTTCCAACACCTGTTTTCAATTCGTTGGGCTATATCCCCGGGAGTAGAATTGTTGGATCACATAATAATTCTATGTTTGACTTACTGGGGAACATCTTAATATTTTCAAAATTAGTTTTGTTTTTGCTTTTCTTTATCTGCTAATGCTGTATTGGAGGATGCATTCCCAGGGCCATAAGAGTGAGGCAGAAAAAGGAGGAAAGCAAATACCTACAGTTTGTCTTTTTCAAAAAAAGGATTTTTACATAACCATACTACCTACCGTTATTGTGCCTAACACAGTTAACAGTGTGTATTCTTCTTTTTACTAAACAGGGAACATGACTTCCAGCAGCCACGTGGGATGCTATTCAGGTGCCATCTGAAACGAGCTCTTCCCCAGAAGGTCTCATGCAAGTTCTGTGCAGTGATGGGGAAACTGCAGAGCAAACTCAAATACAGCACTTATAAATACAGGTACAGCAGCCCTCCCTTGAGTGGGATCCCAAGTTTTACGCTGCATTACAATTCTCCCCTAAAGAAAGAGAAGGCCCAGAGCCATCACTGATGACCTTCCCTGAACAGTCAGTTTGGTCTGTTTCCTTTTGGATAAGAAACATCTTAGTAGATAGTGTCTGCAGCCACAGAGAGAGGGGCCCTACATCTTTGGGAATCATCTCTAGAGTGAGCAAGGACTCTGGGCTTCTTCCTTTATCAGATTCCAGTCATTCACTCATTCTGAGCATTTACAGAGTTAATAATACCATTTCTGGTGATGTCAGCGTGTCTCCTTTCTCTACTCCTTTTCTATCTTTCTCCTCAGCCTGGCCTGAATTCCTACCATAACCCACACTCTTCTTCCCCTTGCTCCACTGTGCACCCTATACCATTGGGCCCCTCATTTTCCATCCTCTCTTTAGCAGGCCCGATGGATTTAGAGACGAGAGAATTCAAACTAAAGCTTTTCAAGAGTATAGCCCAGCTCACGTGGATACCGTCTCTGTTGTTGCTGCTCTGAACTCAGACCTCTGTGTCTCCGGAGGAAAAGATAAGGTGGGGTGTGCAGTGCTTCCCAGGGAACCAGCTTATTGCAGAGAAGGGAACGGAAGGGAACCCTGCATTTCTAGCAGCAACGTTAAGTAGTGTTAAAAATATGGGCTTTAGAGTTAGAAAGACTGGGTTTAAATTCCTGCTCTGCAACTTAGTATTACTTTGGGCAAGTCTTTTAATTTTCTTGAGCTTCAGTCTCCTTATCTATTAAATGGGGATAGTAACGCCAACTGCACAGGACCGCTGTGAGGACTGAATGGTAAGATGCTTGGTACTCTGCCAGACCACCCACGTGATTTTTATAAATGACAAGTATCATTATTCCAGCCTGTCCATTTGTAACCTACCTGCAGACACAGGAGTTATATCAGCAAAAGGAAACTTCTAGTCTCTTTTATGCCTCTCTTCTGCCAAAATGTCTACTTTGGTGTGCATCGTGATTCCTCCCATTGTCACTTTAAATCTCTTTGCTTTCTCTCCCTCGTATTTGGATCTATTGTAGCACTCAGATTTGGCTCTTGCTGGCAAAAATGTTGATTATTTTGTAATAAATAATGCCTCTAATTTTCAGTAGCCACTTAGAATCTTCAAATTCCATTTTCATACTGTATTTCCTTGATTCTAAGATGCACATTTCTACATTTTAACACCTCTGAAATCAGGATGCATCTAAAAATTGATGATATCACCATTTAATTAGCAGCATTTTGTCTTAACATCTATATCATCTTAGACGTATGAAATTTTATATATATGATCCTCACCTGTGAGGGGTAGATAGAGGAAGGATTATCCTCTGTTTTGCAGATTAAGAAACTGGGATTTAATTAGGTCAAGTGCTAACACGCTCCTTATTCCCTAGCAATGAACTACAGAGACTGGGCCAGAGAATGCTCTGAAATCCTGTTTAGGGGGAGAAATACAATAAAATAGTAAAGTATGTACCTGGAAAAGGATGGAAGGAAATTTTAACTGTGATTCTCTCTGGCAGATGGGATATGGATGAGATATTTTGAAATTAAAAAAAAAGGATCTGTTTCACAACAATGTGACTATACTCTTAACACTACTGAACTGTACACCTAAAAATGATTCAGATGGTAAATTTGAAAAAAAAGAAAAAGTATAATACAGTTTTAGGGGAAAAAATCTAATCCCATGTAGATTTTCCTTCAGGATCTACAACCAGAAGAACCTCAAACTAAATCAGTTCCCCCAGGGGAGTGTCATCCCAAACCCATCAGCAAGGTTCAGAGGAGTGGCCCAGTGGCTTGGGGAGAGACAGAAGAACTCAAAGTAGGGGGGCATAAGGACCGAGCAACAATAAAACCTTGATAGAGAGGGAGAAATTAGGTAGAGAATGAGGTAAATGCTTGTTGTTTCAGTTCAACTAAAATATTCTAATGACTCTGCAGACAGTTGTGACCTATAACTGGAGAACTGGAAACGTGGTGAAAAGGTTGAAAGGACATGAGCGTGAAATCACAAAGGTAATTGTCATATGATTACTATCATGGAGGGAATTTGGAATTGAATAAAGGAATGTCTAATAGCTCTAGGTAGTAAGAGTGATTGAATATTCAGTGTTAAGGAAAAATGCTGGGGCTTCATTTGACGGTGTGAAGCCCTACTCCAGGAAAAGCAAAGCAAACCATTCGCCTAGCTATTGTTACAGGTATAGCAGACTAAATTTTTGTTTCATTATTAAGCCCTTCATAGCCCGAGTGGGAAATAGAGAAGGCTGAGATTAACTCTCCCTGACCTATCCTAGCCTAACAGGGTCTTGTATTGAAGGCTTACTGAGTGTTTACTATAGCTAGGGAAATGACAGACTCTCCATGCTCAGGAACCTTTTAGCCTAGCTGGGGAAATGTTTAAAAAGCCAACAACAGTTAAATAAAAATTAATTTGTTAAAGAGCATTACATAGTAGACTGAGCTTCCAGTGAAAATGGTAATGTCAATTTATATAACTCGCCTCTCTGAAGTCCACCTAAATGAACTAAGAATTCAGATGCAAACTCCATCATAATGAAACTAGGCATCAGCGACAATCACATAGCACAGAATATACTTACCTACCAGGTACGGTGCATTTGGAACCAGCCTGAGAAAGAACTCCAGGCTCTAGCACTCTTATCTCCAGCTCTTTTTCCCATTTTCAAGTCCAATGAAACAAACACACTGGAGCTTTTTTTTCTTGAGCAGATAGCTTGTATTCACAAATCAGGCCAGTTCTTCAGTGCCTCTCGCGACAAGATGGTCATGATGTGGGACTTGCAAGGCTCCTCACAACCAAGGCAGCAGTTCTCCGGCCACAGCATGGTGGTCACTGGATTGGCTGTGAGTCCAGGTAAGGTAAAGCTAGCTGATCTCCTCCCAACACCGTTGTACTTTCTGAAAAGCCCTGTTCCAGGCCTATCTCATGGACCATCTTCTTGCCACTGTTTCCAAAGACACATCACAGCTATGCACTGGCTCTCGTGACAACACCCTCCTTCTGTGGGATGTGGGGACCGGACAGTGTGCGGAGAGAGCATCAGTCTCCAGGAACCTGGTATGAACTCAAACTTGGTACAGAGCAGGGCAGCAGGAGGGAGCATGGGGTGAGGAAGGGCCTGGGAAAGAGATCAGGAGACACATGACCAGGCACTAGAGGATTGGGTCCTAATTACTGCTCACCCCCCAACTCTCTGTTAGACCCCGGCCTCTCAGGGTTATCGGATTAGATGATCTCTTAAGTTCTTCCACCCCAGAGAACAACTCCACTAGTTTATATTGGAGTTTTAAATGGTGTCCTCACTTATTCCTTCAAAACATAGTTATTCCATATCTTCTGTGGGCCAGATACTGTGCCAGAAGCAGGGTTAGTGACCCAGGGCACAGTCCCTGGGCTCCAGGAGCTCACAGTTTATGCTTATTGTGTGTTCTGTATACGTAACGTTATGCAGAGAAATAAGCATGACCTTTTGCTGTATGTGTAATTTGCTCTGCTTCTGAAGACCAGTGTTTTCTGTAGCAAACTGGTATATCAACTTCACAGCCTTTGGGGTCAGTCATACCTGGATTCAAATCATGGATTCCTTACTTTTTAGGTGTGCTACCCCAAGAAACTTACTTAGAGTCTCAGTGTCTTCATTTATACAATGAGGAGAATTATATCACCTGACGTGGTAATGTCCTTTAGTGGTTGTCAAATGTCAGTCATAGTCATCTTTTCGAGTTTTGAAGACAACTGCCCATGGAAACATGTGCTTGCCCTGTGCCCCTCCATATTTGTGCAGGTTTCTGGAAGAAAAGAAAATCGTGTTACCCTGGGTTGTTCTGAAAACTGTTTCATGTCTGTCCAGCAGGGGCTGCAGGGATAAAGCAAAACAAGAACACTCTTCCTGAACCCTGTGAGGCCTCAAGCTAGGGTTTCGTTGATCTCACTTTAGAACAGGGGCTGCTCTCCTTAGGTGCCACCCAGCCAGCGGTGTTTGGGTTTCAGGCACTCTAAGCGTGCCTGCATGCATTTTGGGGCTCACGACTGGCCCAGCTGCTTCCATTGCTGCTGATAACCTAGGAACTGCAGGTCGAGCATGACTGGTGGGAATCTGCAAAACATAAAATCCCTCTAAGTCAGATGTGCTAGGTTCGGCATCTTTGAGAAGTGATGGCAGGGATGCGATTTAGCGAGATTTACAGGAATTACAGCAGAGGAATGACATGGTATGGAGAAGTTTTTTAATTTTTGCCTCTTCCAGGTCACTCACCTGTGCTGGGTCCCCAGAGAACCGTATATACTCCAGACCTCTGAAGATAAAACCATCAGGTGGGCTTACTAAGCAGCAAGAAAGTGTTTCTGGTGAAGGTTTGTGGCTCCCATGCTTACATAACCCGTTCCTACTCTGCTTCTCCACAGTGCTTCTCCTTCCACCCCTCTGCCCCTCACCAGTGCTGGGGTCTCTCTGATTGGCCCCATGGATCATGTGGTTAGAGGTTGAGTGGCAGGAGGTCATCTTGTTCTGGCCGGTTTCCAAGCAGCCGATTCTGCCAGCCCCCACTGTGGAGACGTGTTCAGAGTAACCTCAGAGTCAGTCACTCACTCGTCCCGCCCCTCAAGTGGCCCTTGCTTGGCTCCATATGTTCTCAATCATTCAGCCCTCTGGTGAAGCCCTCCCTGTGGAAGTAGGGTCAGAATCACCATCAGGCAAGTCAGGTGAAGTAAACCCTTCTTAGACTAGAAAGCATGACCAGAAGCTTTGGATCTCAGAAGAGATTCTACTTAGAAAATGGGAGGAAGGAGATAAAGAGGTAAAAATGAGACAAGAGGCAAAACAAAACAGTCCCAAGTAGACCCCATGGCTCAGGTTGGCCAAGACCTATAAATCTTCTGTATCTGATTCTGGAATGATGACTGCTCCTCTCCATCACGGTAAGTATCTTTAAAAATTTTTTGTAAATCGCAGACACAGAAATATTCTCTTGTCTGTTGAAAGTAGTATCCCAAAGGACCAAATTAACAAATTAACTTGTACAATTAAGATACTTGGTCTAAATTCCTGTTAATTAGATCTCAAAATAGAAAGAACTCAGATGTCATTCAGTTTGGTTATTTCCTGCCAGCTTTGGAGTCTCTGAGATTGATCTGGTTCACGTTGCCGTTTTTAGGTAAATCACGGCGTTCCATTCTGACTGGCCAAGGCGGCAAAGAGCCAAGACTTTGCCGTTAACAGGCTATTACAGGTGCCTTTCAGCACATTAATATAAACCCATTCCCTGCTGTAATTTCTTTCAGATTATGGGACAGTCGGGGGCTGCAGGTAGCTCATGTATTTCCCGCAAAGCAGCACATCCAGACCTACTGCGACGTCAGTGAGGATGGACACAAGTGTATCTCCTGCAGCAGCGGCTTTGGAGGCGAAGGCTGTGAAGCCACGGTGAGAGACTGCAAGGTCCAGGTGTTTGGTTGCTGATGAGAAATGACTTCCTCTGGCTTCCTGCCTGTACTGGGCTACACAGGCAGGCTCTACTAATGTCTCAGGCCTATTCCAAGTGCATACTGTCAGTGATCCTTTGCATTCCAGACACTTCTTTCAAGAAACCACCATTGCCTAAGCTCTCTGCATTGGTCGCAGAAAAGAGGAATGTGATGAAAGTTAAGATAGGAAGGCATTAAATACAGAACCAGCCTATTAATGTCCCTACTCCCAACAGAGCTTAGAAAGGGGAGGGACTGTTTGAAGAACCAGGTGTGTTCCCACTGTACATGTGGTCACAGTAAAGGAGTTCAAGCTCTTCGGGAAGTTTGGAGCTCTAGTGTTGGTTGAAGGCCCATCCCATCCCTAACCCATATACCTTTCCTTGCAGTTAATTTTGGGATAGATTGCCTAGGCTCCTCCAAAGTACCTTGGATTTCTTTCTTTCTTTCTTTCTTTTTTTTTTTGGTTGCACCACACAGCTTGCAGGATCTTAGTTCCCCGACCAGGGATCAAATCCGTGCCCTCAGCAGTGAAAGCACAGAGTCCTAACCACTAGACCGCCAGGGAATTCCCAGTACCTTGTATTTCTAATTGTGAGATATCAGTTTAAAGGCTTATCTATAATCCAAATAGGACAATTACAGTTCCCATTTTATTGGACACTTACTATGTGCAAGGCACTGGGCTGAGCACATTATAGTGCATTATCTCATTTAATCCTTAAAACAACCTTGTGAGTTAGGTATTATTATAGTTCCCATTTTACAGATGAGGAAATAGAGGCATGGCAAGTTGAAATCTCTTGTACAAGACCACACTAGTAAATGGTAGGTTGAGGTGTTGAATCCCAGGCTATTCATGTAGCATCTCTTCTCCAAGCTAAGCATTTCCAGCTCTTATAACTGTTCCTTGGATGACATGGTGTCCAGTGATTTCATTATTTTTTGGGCACAATTCCATCTGCTCTTGTCTGTGAGCATTATTCTCCAGGTGTGGTCTGATTTGTATCAACAAGAGTGGGCTGGCAGGACTATCGTCTCCCTTGTTATAGAATCTAGTCTTCTTATACCAAGATTCAGTGTCTAGGCATTACATCGGAAGGTCTGCACCTGTATTTACTTATGAGAAGGTGCTCCTAACTATGGGGCCCCACAGGACCCACAGATGCCAAGAGGCTGTTATAAGGCAGCTCTTGAGCTGTCATAGAAGAGCCCCATTCTGTCCCATCGTGCTACAGGACTTGGAGCTTTCACTAACCATGATGATAATAATGAAGGCAACAACCCTCTGGCACATCCTTAACCTGGGTTGTTTGAGGCATAGTTGTTGCTGAAATAGTCACCGCATGGCTGGATGCTTGGGTGTGTGGATGGGATGGATGAAGATAAGGGTGTCTATGAGGAGGTAAGTGGAGGGAATAGGTGCATCATGAGACGCCGGGGAGAGGATTTCAGTGAATGAAGCATGTCTAAAGCTGGGGAAACATGTACGTGTGAGCCAGCCTCTGTCATTACTTTGCAGTTGTGGGACCTAAGGCAGACGCGGAACAGAATCTGTGAGTACAAGGGGCACTTCCAGACTGTAGCATCCTGTGTCTTTCTACCAAGAGCATTAGCCTTGATGCCTGTGATTGCTACCTCATCGCATGACTGCAAGGTGAAGATCTGGAACCAAGACAGTGGAGGTAAGGAGCCTGCTGTTAATGCTTCTCAAAGATACGTGAAGTCCTACAGGCTTCCTTAAAACTCTTTCTTCCATAGCTCAACATATACAAAGCCACCCATGTCCTGCCACTGTCCAGTCCCATAGTGGTTAAGAGATGACACCAAGAGGCCAGAATCTTTGTCCAGTCTCTGCTAGGAGCTGTCACCATGTAACCCCTGTTATCTTGTTGTACAGATTCATTCCTGAGAGCTCAAATGTATTTTGATTCTTTTATTCTTTCCACCTGAAGTTCCTCATCTGGTTTTAACTTGTGATGCTCAAAATGTCTGGAAAAGAGAACAAGAATTGCCATTTTAAAATTCATCCTCGAGGACTAAAATGAGACCCTTAGCTCAGAGGGCATGAAGTGGGGTAAGGATAGTCTCAGAAAGACTCTGCCCTCTCTTGACTCTGCAGCCAAGGTTTGGGATCGCAGTAAGGTAGTGACACTTCAAAGCACCAGAGAAAAAGATGTTTAGGGAACAAGCTGCCCAGAGTCCTCCATGCAGTGGTGCGCCGGAACCAGCTTCCTACTGGCTGATTGTTAAATATTCAGGAATATTTAATACGGTCGTGGTGGGAGTATTTACACCATGAAAACTGGCAAATGCTATGAATGAAGGTAGTATTTTTTTTCCTTCCAAAAAGCCAGTTTACCAGCACCCCACTGCCTCAGTGCTATTCTGTCCTGGACACTGGCTTCTGCCAGACACAGGGATAACATTAATTTAGAGAACCTCAAGCCAGATCCCTTTGACAGTCATCTCCCGGAAACTCAGCTCCCATCAGGGGAGGATAGGGTCGCTCCCTCAGAGAAGAGGTATGGGATCACGTCTAGTGGCTCACAAGCCAGGTGTGGGATCACGTCTAGTGGCTCACAGCGAGCGCAGCCTGGCTGCACCCTCCCGTGGAGTTGTGGGAGGAGGGGCAGAGCAGCTGTTCTAGATGCAGGAATCAAAAACCAGAGCCAGGGAGAACCAGGTGTGCAAGCACTGCCCTGCCTGCCAGGCGTGCAAGTGTAGCTCTTAGAAGAGCAGAGCCTGCAAGATGCAAATGGAGGAGACTGGGTCAGCTGGCAGCCTCAGGCCGCCCTTCAGCTCCCCCATCATCCTTTGTCCTGAAGGGAGCTAGACCCCAGGGAGCCAGCAGCTGAGGGTCAGTGTTCTTATCTGTTTTCTCTGCGCTGACCCATGCTTTGTTCTCTGGGCAGGTGTCTGAGGGTAGCATTTTCACATGGCCTTGCAGTGAGGCTCCAGTTGTCCGACGTACTTCCAGGTGGCGTACGTCTTGTTGGGTCCACGTGCCATTCTCTAGACTTGACGTCGTGGGGTCGACTTCCCCGCTGGTGCACGTTCCTCTGAGGCACACAGTGCCTCTCTCTTCTGGGTTAGATGCGCATAGCACGTGCTTTATTTCTGGGGGTTTCTTACAAAGACACTGCCTTTCATGACATGTACACTCTTGGCCTAACGTGCTGGTTCCCCCTTCCTTCCCAGCCTGCCTTTTCACCTTGTCTCTGGATGGATCAGGACCTTTGACTTCCCTGGCTGTGGCTGACACCGTCTCCTTATTGTGTGCAAGTTTCAGCAGAGGAATTCGCTTACTCAGGGTGGACCATAGCCGAGGGCTGGAACTGCAGGAAGTGGCAGGATTCTGAGGCCAAGACACCTTCACTGGACAATAGCAAACTGTGGCCCCTCCTTACTCAGTGTGACTTTGTGTTTTTCCATGTTCTCTTGGGGGGAGGGCCATGTGGAATGGTGTTCTTTGCTTAGGCTCCCTTGGAAGGTATGTCAGTGTTAGAAGCCAATTTAAGTCTAGTGGTTCAAAATCAGGTGCAGAGATTAGAAATATGGACTCAACCGTAAGGTTCTCAAACGAAGTTAAATCCAAATGCAATTTTTAGTGAGCTTTGGGGACTGCTCTTCAAAAAAAAGTTTATGGGCCTCTTGCTTTCTGAGATGGCCCACACTCTGTCCGTGGAGTGTGTTTCTCCCAAGGCTGTCTCGCCTTTCGAGACAGACCGCATTCTGTCTATGGAATGTGTATCTCTCTCTAAAAAAATGTTTATGGCTTGGAATGATGACCTGTAGGTATAAGAGTGATAGGCCTCTGTCTGTGAGAGTCAGAACACAGGTCTGAGTCTATTGAACTGACCTTTTCCATGTCTCCACGAAAGAAGAAAATGCAGCAAAGAGAGAAACTCTGTTTTGGTTGCCTCGCAATTATCTAGATGGGAAAGAATAGTGCAGCTCCATGGAGGAAATGGATTGTAGACATGAGATTAAGCTCTAATCACAGCCCCTCAGCAATGTGAAGAATCAATGTTAGGGCAAGAAAGCAAAAGCCTTGGCTTCTACTCGGCGTAGTCGCAGAGGGGAGGTGGCAAATCCCTAGACCGGTGCTAGGGCTGCACAAACACGTGTGAAGAGGCCGGCCACCGCAGCGCCTCGCCCACGGTTAGACGAGTTATCAAACCCATTCTGTGGATACGAAAATGGAGAGATGAAGCCTAAAAAAATTGCATTTGTATATTTTAACATTTTTACTTAGTTTTATATAACTCTTTATGGGGAATGGCCAGAATAAGGCAAAGGGAATCTCTGCAACAACAATGGAACATATAGAAAAAAGCAGAAAGATGGATTCAACTGTGCCAGCCACTGAGCCCCCCTCGGTGAGGAGGGGCAGGATGCTCGGCTCTGTCTGTGTGGCCCCCAGGAGCTCAGTCCCCAGCCTGGTGCTCACAAACCTACTTTCCTCCAGGAAAGTCACTCCTGCCGTCAGGCAGGTCCATACCTAAGGCAGCTGAGGCCTGGAGAGTCCCTTTCTGATGAGTCCCAAAGAAAGATTTAGCATTCGTCCTCTCTGGCCCCTACCTGTCCCTGATACCAGTGGCTGACAGCCATCTTCCTTGTCCCCTCCTGCTCCTCTTTGGGGCCACCTCCCCCACGCTGCCTCCAGTCACGAGGCAGGAGAATCTTAAGCTCGTGCAAAGCGTCAGACCTGAATTGGACTCTCCATCTCCCCATGTAGCTGGCTGATCTTGGGAAAGTTATAAAACCTGTTTCCGCACTTATAATATGGAGCTTCATAATCAGACGTTTTTTACGGGGCTGTTCCAAAGATTCAACTGTGTTAAATGTCAGGCAAGCTAGTGGGTGCTTACAAATGGCAGCCACAACTCCTTAGCACCCGCTCTGTCCAGACTAAACACTCACACAACACACTTACCACTCCTTCACCCGTTCTCCTTAGATGGTATTTTCTAAACCTTTAGCCACTGTTCAGCTTCCCTGTGATTCCCTAAGTTATGGATCTTTGAGCTCTGAAAGGACAAAGTGGGTGGTGGGAGAGGAAGCTGCCTCGTTGAGCACCTACAGGTGGCTGAATACATGTATCCTCACGGCAGTTGTGTTATTCTCATGTCACAGATGAGGAAGCTGAGGCCCAGGGACATCCAGTCCTCTGCCCGAGGTTACACGCGTGGGGAAGAAGGGGAGAACTGAGATCTGGGCCTGGGTCTGCCTGACTTTCCTCCTCACCCCTTTGCCTCTGCATGATGTCACAAAGTTCATTTTAGAAATTTGTAGGCCATGACATTGTGTATTTTCTGGACCAGTTATTAACTTTTTGGCTTCAAGGAGATCCTCCTGGCCAGGTGCCTGGGAGCAGTAGACAGGTGTCTCGGGGAAAGTCCTAGCAAATCCTGAACTATTAGTGCTACAGGTTAGCCTTTCTTCTAGAAGGAAGACAGAAAATCCAAGGGAGTGGTTGGGAGGGGTCCCAGGAAAGGGGAACAGCGGGAACATATGTGAGAAAATAGAAGGGCTCTGATGAAGTAGCCCAGTTCTATTACCAATAAAATTGTTTCCCAGGCTTCCCTGGTGGCACAGTGGTTAAGAATCTGCCTGCCAACGCAGGGGACACGGGTTCGAGCCCTGGTCCGGGAAGATCCCACATGCCGTGGAGCAACTAAGCCCATGCGCCACAACTACTGAAGCCCACGCGCCTAGAGCCCGAGCTCCGCAACAGAGAAGCCACCACAATGAGAAGCCCGTGCAGTACAATGAAGAGTAGCCCCCGCGCGCCACAACTGGAGAAAGCCTGCGTGCAGCAACAAAGACCCAACGCAGCCAAAGGTAAATAAAAATAAATAAATAAATGTTTCCCTACACTCTACACATGCTTGATATAAAAATTCCTTATCTGTGCATTTTAAGTAGAAAATAGATTTATAAATCCAAATGTATTATAGGATTTTTCAGTCTTATATGCTCTAATCAGGTACTCTCAGCACCTAAGATACGGGCTGCTAAAATGCATTCATTTGTGCATTGAACACTTCATTTTAGACGCTATTCCTCTAAAACCATATAAAGGAATTTTCCAAAGACACTTGACTTTTTCTTTTTTTTTTTCCTTTTTTGGCCACGGTGCGTGGCGTGCAGGATCTTAGTCCCCCTACCAGGGATCGAACCCACGTTCCCTGCAGTGGAAGCGTGGAGTCTTTATCACTGGACCACCAGGGAAGTCCAAGTTCTTTCTAGGAAAGTATATAAACCCTTGGAATCTGGCCAATTAAATTAAAAAAAATTATATATTTACTTATATAAGTTGAAAATATTTATATATTTAAGGAAAAATGCATGGTGATTATTAATGACCTTTTATTTTTTGGTGGCTTACACTATAAGAGGACATTTATTTTTACTAAGAGGTTAAAAAAAACCTGGAAAAGAGTGATTATTTTCTTTAAAATAGCTACCAGCAAGTACTGTGATGCAGTGAATATCGTCGGTATCCCCAAGTATCAGACAAGTCCCCATTATCACTATCTTCCTGAACAGTGATTATTAAAGAAGGTTCCCCAGGGGTTCTGAGTTTACAGTCATTGAAACAGAAATAATGTCCGATCTTTTAGCTGCAGCAGCAGAAATGTACCTTCACCTGTGTGTTTTCAGCACTGGTATTGAGAGACGTGTTGTTTTCAGTCTGTAACAGCCTTCATTTTGACACAGGAATGGCAAGTATAGAACTCAGGTCACTTGTTTTTTTAATATTTATTTATTTATTTGGCTGAACCGTGTCTTAGTTGCAGCACACGGGATCTTTCGTTGCAGGGCGCAGGCTCTTTGTTGTGGCACAGGCGTCTCTCTAGTCGTGGCGCAGGCGTCTCTCTAGTCGTGGCGCTAGGGCTCTCTAGTTGTGGCGCACGGGCTCTAGAGCACGCAGGCTCAGTAGTTGAGGCGCAGGGGGCTTAGTTGCCCCGCAGCATGTGGGATCTTAGCTCCCCAACCAGGGATCGAACCCACGTCCCCTGCATTGGAAGGCGGATTCTTAACCACTGAACCACCAGGGAAGCCCCCACTTTTTTTTTTAATCTTTTAACACTGAGATAAAGGAACTTAGCTTTTTCTGAATGGCCTTTTTAAAGCATAATTATCAAAGAACAGCTTCATCATTAAAACACATGAAGTTGTTCCTGAAATGGGCACTTCTTAGCACGGGCAGTCCAGCTAAGACAGCATTCCCAGCTAGGCACAGCCATAAGAATAAGTTGGTTTCAGTGGAGTGAGTGGAAGTGATGTAACTTCCACCCTATTAGCTCAAAAGGAGTATGTTTGTCCAGAATTTCCCCTCTGAGTCCCTTCCCACTAGGTGGGATGCCGACTGCCAGCAACAGCTTCAGCTATTCAGATTAGGACAAGATGATGCAACAAGAAGAAAGAAGGAACCTGGGGCCCCAAATAACCTCCAGGAGCTGAGCTGTTCCAACAGCCTGACCAGCTGTACTGTGACTTGAAAGAGAACTTCATTCTTTTTAAGCCACACACACACACACACACACACACACACACAAACTTTTAATTCAAGTTTAGCCATCACAGAGTTTCATATGCCTTAAGTTTATAGCTGGCAGAATTTTCTTAAACTGAACACACTCTAGTAACCTAGATGAAGAAGCATAATACATCCAGGAATGCAGATGGCCTCCCTCATACTCCCCTTCAGAACTATCAGCCAAGGGATTTATAATAGCATAAATTGGTTTTGTCTGCTTTTCTACTTTATATAAGTAGAATCATATTGTAGTAGATGGAAGATACGGCCACAAGCTTCTCCCATCCCTGTATGTGTGACCCTTTGCAAAGTAACTTCTCGTTAATAGATGGGATCTATTTTCCCAGCCCTTGAATCTGTGACGGCCTTTGACTTGGTTTGACCAACAGAATGCAGAAGAACGAATGCTATGCAAGTCTGAGGCTCAGCCTTAGAGAGAGCTTGCCGCTTCACTTTCACCCTCTTGGAATGCAACTCCGAGGATGCCATGTTAGGGAGTGACCTAGGCCCTGTGGAGAAGAACCCAGTACCACCACACATGTGAACAAGGTCACCTTGGACCTTCCAGCCCTGCCAAACCTCCAGCTGAATGCAGCCATAGATGAAATCAGAAGAGAAACTGCGCAGCTAGCCCACAGAATCATGAAAAACAATAAATTGTTTTAAGACTAAGTTTTGGGACAGTTTGTTATCCAGCAGTAGAGTTAGGTGAAACAATATGTGCGCTTAATTTTCGTCAGGCTTCTTGGGCTCAACATGTTTGTGAGATAGACTGACATTGTTTGATAGTATTCTATGGTGTGACAATATTATAATTTATCCACTTAACTACTGATGGGCATATGGGTGTTTCCAGTTTGGGGCTTTTATAGTTAGTGTTGCTATGAACATTCCATTAGTATGTCATCTGGTGAAATATGCAGGCATCGTATTCACTGTATAACCAGGGGAGGCCATTCTGGGCCATAGGGTAGAGTGCATGATCAGCTTTAGTAGATACCACCTCTTTTCCAAAAAGTTTGTCACAGTTCACATTCCCACCAGCTGTGGAGGACCTTCAGCAGAGTTTCCGTTGTCCATACCCTTGCTAACACTTTGTGCTCGTAAACTTTGCAAGCCTCAGTTTTAAAGATGAGTGTGTAAATGTTGAAGACTGTACGAGGGAAGTGTGAGCTCCACGGACCAACATTAGAAAGAAGCTGGACCAGCTGGTTTTGATTGTACCTTTCTTCCTGACACCTCCAGTTAAGAGGCCAGAATTTTAACAGTAAAACCTTATATGCGCTATACAAACTACTTTCACAATCATAATTTCATCTGAGTCTTCCAATAAAATAACACTGGTGTCAACTAGCACTGCATGTCCAGGTGCTGAACTCGCAGTCCATCCAGAAATAGTCTTTTGGAAAACAGCCACCTTCACATGACTAATAACCTTGTACACATTTAAAATGGGGCTGCATGAAATGTTGTCCATGATTCACCCTAAGTGAAAAACACAGGTGACAAAACAGCCCCATACAGCCTCATCCCATTTTGGTAAAAATGTATCTGCACATATGTCTATACATTCATAGATGAAGGTCTGGAAGAAATAGAGCAAAAATGTTAACAGTGTTAGCTCTGGGTATTGAGTTTAAAGATGAATTTATCTTCTACTTTATGCCTTTTTTTTTGTAATGAGGATGAATCAGTTTCATTTTAAAAACTTAATTGTTTTTGAAATAGATAACTCATTCACATAGTCACAATCAAGAGTGCAAGAGTTTATACATTAAAGTCTCCCTCTCATCCACGTCTGCCTTCCATCTGGCTCCCTCCAGAGGTAACCAGTGTTACCAGCATCTACTGTACTCTTTCAGAGACATTTCACGCATATACTACAAGCAAATACATACATTTGTTATTTCCTTTGTCACTTTTATGATCAAGAACAAGACTATTTTCATTCTGAAGAAAAGGTTGTAGAGACTATTTTATGATGTGGAAAGATAAGCAGAAAGGCTACAAAACAGTACATAGAGTATGACATATTTTATAATAATGTATGAAAAAATTTTGCATTTAAAATACTTATAAAGAGACTGAAAGGCTATACACCGAAAGGCTATGATAAACATACCTTTGTCCAGAAAGAATTTTTCTTTGTTTCTAATTACCATCCATAGAAAAGTTCTTATTGTGGAACCATAATTCAAGTTTCATACTGAAGATTCTATCACCCATTTGTTTGAACCATGTGATAATTAGAATACAATAATACAATTACAAAAAACCACTTTGAGTTGCCTCTCATCCAGAAGATGTTATTTTTACAGTCTTATTTATTGTGGAGAGGGCTTTATGTTAGACCCTTCACATTGTTGGGATCCTGAGCTTTATTTTTTCGGTGGTCATCTCTGCATGTAGGATTTTGGGTGAGTTTATTTCCTCCTTATAGGTGACAGTGTGGCCTGGTTTTAGGGCGTGGACTCCAGCACCACCATGCCTGGTTCAAATCCCAGTCTGCCGCTTCTTAGTCTCACGACCTTGGGCAAGAGACTTAATCTGTGTCTCAGTGCCGTCATCTGTGAAATGGAGATGGTATGATGGCAGCATCTACTCACAGAGTTGTCAACAGGGATGTCATACGATTCAGGTAGAGCCCCTCGAATAGTGCCTAGCATTGTTCCTAAGTGTCAGTGTTATATTCATCTGAGTTGCCTAATTTTTCCATATTGGACAGGTACTACAATAAAAAAGAATAAACTCCCATGAGAGAAGGGAAACTAGACAGATGTAGAGACGAGCACAAATGAGAAAGTGCCATAGAGAAGAGTGCAAACCATGAGGCCCCGGGAACTCAGCGAGGAGGGAGGGGCCCGGCTTTTTGATTTCGACTAAAAGCCCCGTGAAAGGATCCCTCTGTCGGTACTGCAAGCTGAGCATTCCAAGAGCAGAGATGGACTTTGGTCCAGGAGCCTTCTCTCTGGGCATTTGGAGAAGGCCTTTGAGACCTTCCTGGAAGCTGCCCTGGCCCTTCCCTGTACAAACGGCCTCTTGCAACTTTTTGCCGCTGTCTTCCTGGCAGGGGTCATGTGGAGAAAGGCTTCAGAGTAAGTGTCAGGACTTACCTGGCTGTGCCTGGCCCAACTCACTCCAAGGACCTTCAGGGGGCAGTTACTGCCACCCTGATGTGGCGGCAAGTCTGGGGGACTGGAAGACAAGATGCTTCATTCACAGCCCAGCTGGAGGAAGAACCGTCCAATTGCAGCTCTGTGTTTCTAAACACACCAGGTGGCATGGGCAGGAGGCCTGCTGTCCTGTGTCCTCAGCCGGGAACCCTCTGCCTGGGGACAGAGAGGGGAGGGGAAGGCAGATGAAGGGAGAGGAGGAAAGCGCAGGGCTAGGAGCTGGAGGCCCTGGGGTCCAGCCTTAGCTCTGACGTTTCGCATTGACGTTAGCTGGGATAAATTCTTAATTTCATCAAAATCCAATCACTCCTCACAGAATCCCTTGAATTGAAATGGGAATAACAATGCCAGATGTGACCTGCTTGATGAAAGGAATTATGTGAACTACTTTATATTTGAAAGAATATCTAGATCCTGTAGTTCCTGCTAAGTCTGAGGTAAACGAGGGCTGGGAAATAGTGTTATATCAGTGTTTCTAAATTTATTCAATTGACACATTTTTAAAATAAAATAAAATAAAATAATAAAACAGCTCATAATCCTTATCCACAATGCTTAAAATCCCCCCGTTCTGGAGACAAAGGTTTTGGTTTTTTTTGCGGTATGCGGGCCTCTCACTGTTGTGGCCTCTCCCGTTGCAGAGCACAGGCTCCGGGCATGCAGGCTCAGCGGCCATGGCTCAGGGGCCCAGCCGCTCCGCGGCATGTGGGATCTTCCCGGACCGGGGCACGAACCCGTGTCCCCTGCATCAGCAGGTAGACTCTCAACCACTGTGTCACCAGGGAAGCCCTGGAGACAAAGGTTTTTTTCATTAAATTTGGTGCCAAAATTGACCCGATGGCGCTTATTCTTTTGGGTATCAATCTTTATAATAAATTGCAGAATATTAATAAAATAAAATAAAAAATAAATTGCAGAATATTAATGCATTTGATTACCAGGTGCTGCCTCAGGTCTCACTAGTATATGGTAAATGCATCATATTATCTTCCTAAAATATGAAAAATTCTGAAACACATCTGGCCCCAAGGGTTTTGCATGAGGATTGTGACGTGTAAAACAAACTCAGATGCTGCACACAGGAAATGGGGAGGGAGGGACGGTGTCCATTCCCAGGCTGAGATTCACCCAGCCCTGTCTGGGACATCTTCCTGGTGTCAGATCCCTGAGAAGTCTTTAAGAACCTGAAGACAAATGTACCCGGGATGAGTCAAGGAGCATATACTGGGGATATTTTTTCCTAAATTAGTCTTCATACTTCAGTGTGTCTCTGAATCCCCCTGGGGATCTAGTGAAAATGCAAATTCTGATTCAGTAGGTCTGGAATGGGCCTGAGCTTCTGCATTCCTATCAATCTCCAGGTGATGCCTCTGCTGCTGGGACTGTTCTGGCCTCCGGATAAGCCTAAGGCATGGCTCCAAGTGATAATAACAATGTGGTGCCCCACAGGGAGAGCTGCCCCCTGCCCTTGGCGGGGGTGGGAGCTCGCTCAACACTGATCACCTGACCAAAACCTGCCTCGTCACCGCCTTTTCTCCATCCTCCGCTGCCCATTTACTGCCTTCTGCTGCCTCTTCCTCCCTGCATGGTTCATGCCACCCTCCGCCTCCATCCCCGACCTTGGCTGGGCCTCACCAAGTCTCATGACTCTTCACTCACCCGGTTCCAAGGTACTGCTTAGACGAGGTGCTTTTCCAGCTGACTGACCTCACCTCCGAAGCATGAACTAAATTAGTTCAACTCTCAAATTCCTGAGATGGCTCACTATCTCTCCTGGGTATCTCCCCGGAAAATTTTCCACTGTTTGCAAAGTACTCCCTAGCCCTGACCACCCAGAGATATTAATGATAATGCATTTGCTCACTAGACAAGCAGTGACCCGGGAAAGGGCCATGGGTTATTTTATTTTTATGTCAATGCTTGCAATGCCCTGACTGATTTCTTACACACCCTCCTTGCTTCTTTTTAAGTTCTGGATTCCCGGGTTGCAGAAAACTCAGACTTCCTTGTTTTCCAAGTGAATTTTCCTATTGCAAAAGTAATACATATCTATTAATAAAAGTTTAGAAAATATAGTTAAGAAGAAAATGTCAATACCAGTAAACTTAGCACGCAGAGATAACCATTGGCACATTTTGTCTCATGGCCTTTCAGGCTTTATATATAAATTTTGTTTTACAAAATCTGGATCATACATATAACATTTTGGAACTGCTTTGCCCCCCTCCATTTATAGTATATTGTGACCATTTTCACAGATCAATAAAAATTCTTCTGCAATAGCATTTTAAATAAGGGACTTCCCTAGCGGTCCAGTGGTTAAGACTTCACGCTTCCACCACAGGGAGCGTGTGTTCAATCCCAGGCCAGGAATAGAATGAAGGCCGAATACACATATATTTCTTATTATAAATCACAATATCACACATACCTTTTGGATACTTACAGGGAATTATATTATTATGTAAAAGTGTATAAACTTCTTCATGGTTCGCATGAGTTGCCAAACCAGAAAGCATGGCTTCCAAACTCTCAAATACGAACCAGATCCTTTGGGCTGAATCAGTGTCTTGAATTCTCACTAACCTTAGTTAACCAGAAGTGATACTGGAAAGCAGGGCGTTCTAGGTCTGAGAGGGAATTCCAGGCCACCAGGTCATGCCTTGAGGCATCCCTCTGTCTCCTGCTCAGAAAGAGGAAAAATGCTTAGAGGTCTCTGTTAGGGATCTACAACTTCCCAAAGAACACAGCTATTTTTCAGACAATTCAAGGCTAATCTAAATCCTGCAATCATTTTGGCATTTATTTTTCCAGCCAATATTTATATATTTAAAATGAAGGGATTAGGGGAACTTCCTGGCTGTCCACTGGTTAGGACTCAGCACTTCCACTGCAGGGGGCCCGGGTTCAATCCCAGTTCAGGGAACTAAGATCCCGCACGCCTTGAGGTGCGGCCAAAAACAAAAAAACAAACAACAACAAATGAAGGGATTAGATCAATAAGGGAATGGTTAAGTAATCTGTGGTACAGCCATTCAATGAAATATGATACAACCATTAAAAAACTGAAAAAGCTCTTTATGCACTAATACAGAATGATAGATACATCGTTAAGTGAAAAAAGCAAGGTGTAGAACCATGTATACCAAATGCACATTTGTGTAAAAAGGAGGAATAGGAATACATAGACATTTTGACATAGGAGTTTTGCTTGTGTATTCATAAAGCATGTTTGGAAAGATACACAAGAAACTGATGGTATAACTCCTTCATTTTTAGGGAAGTTAGGTAGCTGGGAGAACAACATTTTCGTTGCAAAATGAAACCTCTTGTGCTGAACATGCAAATGTATTACCTCTTCTAAAATAAAAATTTTAAAACACAAAATAAGAGGACTAGGGCATTTGATTACATCCTAAAATACATTTATTTCTGTTTATTCTCCAAACCCCAATTTAAATGGTCAGTAAAGGAATAAAAGAAGAGGACCATATGTACAGAGAATAGGAGAGGGAACAAAAGATGGATCGTATGAACACACTTTTGGGGGACAGTGAGGCAACGGCACAGATTTCAGAGTCATACTTGCAGTCCCAGCTCTTTAACTTGCTTCTCATGAGCTCTTGGGTAAACCCCTTACTTGCTTTGAGCTTCTGATTCCTTATCTGTGGAAGAGTAAGGACAAGTCATTTATTTTATGTGATCCATATCGTGCCTTGTGGGAGTGTTGGGAGGATTCATTGTCCCAGATCAGAAGCATTTAATAAAGCACATAAACTGCTACTATTACTTTTAATAATAGTAGCGGGCTTTAGCTAATATTATGTTAATGTTTGTCAGTCTGACAGGAAAAATAGCAGTATCTTATTTAAAATCTGAATTTCTCTAATTATAAATGAGGTTGAACAATTACATATATATTCCACTTGTATTTCTTTTTCTGTGATTTGCCTGATCATCTCTTAATAATAGTTAACATTTACTGCATGTTACTGTGTACCAGGCACTGTGTTATGATCTCTGCATGCATTATCTCATTTAACCTGGGGATCAAATAGGTAAAATTATTATGCCCATTTTCAGCTGAGAAAAATAATATTTAGAGAAATTAATTTGCTCAAGTCTCCATCACTAGTAAGTAGAGTCTGGATTCTGAGCGAGGACTTGACTCTGACCCAGAAATCTGACTTGATCAAGAACCCAGGCTCTTCAGGCTTATGCTTCAGTGACTCTCCCCTAATGGTTTTCCTTTTGGATTAAATAATTTTCTCAATATTTTGCAAGTGCCCTTTGTATTTTAGTTGCAGGGCGCAGAGTAGGAAAGGATCGATCTGTGCCGAGGGGCAGAAGTGGCATCAGCGACAACCTGCCTGCCTGTCAACTGCCCATAAGGCTGTGTGTGAGCCAAGGCGGTGCAGTCAGAGGTGATGCAGGAGACCAACCGGGTGCAGAACAGAGGCCTGCAACGATGAGTGGACTTCGACCCCCTTAGAGAGAAAGCAAGAGTGACTCACAGGAGGAAGATGAAACCAAAGCTTCCAGGCTGTCCCTGGTAGGCTCAGACAGTCCAAAGGCAGCAGAGGGAAGGAGAGAAAATCCTGAGATGGAGAGCTGGCCAAGAGCTTCCTGAAGACCATGCAAATGAGGCACGCCCACAGCTGCCTGGAAACCAGGCCGGGAGAAGTCAGAGCCCAGAGCACATGCTGCAGGGCCGTGCTAGGCAAAGGAGCTGGAGGAGGTGGAGGAGGCGCCAAGGGAGCAGGTAAGGAACCAGGGAGGGTCGTGGAGGGACGGCTCACAGGGCCCTGCATCCTGAGAGGCAGCATCGTCCACCGACCGGGTGAACGCTGTCCTGGGAGGCAGGGCTCCTGGGATCATCTTTCAAGCTCAGCCATTCTTTAGCTGTGAAGCCTTGGGCAAGTCACTTCACCATTCTGAGCCTTGATGTTCCCATCTATAAAATGAGTGTAAAAATAGCATGCTACCTATGTATTGAGCATCTGCTGTGCTTTGCTGTGCACATAACAGTCATTATCCTCTCCTCACAGCAAGCTCATAAGGTGAGATCATTAGCCTATATTACAGAGGAAAACAAAGCTCAGAGAGGTTAAGCCATTTGTCTAAGACCTCACAGCAAAGAAGTCTGGTTCCATAGCTGCACACTGTCGACTCCTGATCCTGCTTCCTTCAGAGGGTGGTTTTACAGAATCAAATGGTCTATGCAAATGGAAAAAAAAATTGCAAAAGGCAAATTATACCATCAAGATGTGAGTTACCACACTTAGACCCCGGCCAGGACTGAGGCCCTTTGTAAACTGGGAAGTCCTATAAAAATGCTAGTTCTTCACCTCTCTCCTCTGGAGGTTGAAAGTATTGGGGTGATGCTACAGACAATGGATATTTGGCTGACTGACCTGCTCACAGACTGAGGCGATGTCTTTGGGGTGGTATTGGGATGTCCTGGCTTGAGAGTGAGTCGTTGGTGGTTAAGTGGCCAGAGTTCCTCCTGGAGACAGACTCTGAAGCCACAGACAAGGCCTGAGGTGACCATGGCAGATAAGGGCCCAGGTGCTGATTCAACAGTGATCATCCCTCTTCTTGAGCATCCCTTTACAGCTTTGGCCATGGAACTTCAGGAAATGGAAGCCTGCTTTGTGGGGAGGGGAAAATCTTTAAGGGTAGTAAGCTTAGTGCAATAAAGTTAGAATAAAGTTAGAATTTTCAGGCAAGAGAATGAAAAACTAACAAACCTATAATCTTACCCCCAGAGATAACCACTGTTGACATTTCAGTGTTTGTTTTTCCACACATTTTTTTCCGTTGCACACATATATTGAAAAATTAGATTGTACTGTAATATGGTTTTTTTGCGGTACGCGGGCCTCTCACTGCTGTGGCCTCTCCCATTGCGGAGCACAGGCTCCGGACGCGCAGGCTCAGCGGGCATGGCTCACGGGCCCAGCCGCTCCGCGGCATGTGGGATCCTCCCGGACCGGGACATGAACCTGTGTCCCCTGCATCGGCAGGCGGACTCTCAACCGCTGCGCCACCAGGGAAGCCCTGTAATATGGTTTTATTACTGGTTCTTTTCACTTAATAACATGTCATGAACGTATTTCCATATCAATAGATGTTTTATCACATCACTTAAAGGCTGCAGAATGTCTCTTTGTATGGATGGAGCAGAATTTATTTAATAAGTGTCCTACTATTGGATAATTAGGCAGTTTTCAATTTTTAACCATTAGAGCCGTGCTTTCTACCCAAATCTTGGTACAGGTCCTGGATTATTTCCACGGGATAAATTACCAGTGGGGGAACTGCTGAATCAAGGTTATGTATATTTTAAGGCCTTTGATAAATACTAAAGGTCTGCTTCTGACACACTCTGGAATTCAGGGGCTCCTCAAAGCTCAATGCAGAAAATTTCATGGCCTCAAAGTCAGCCTTGAGCCTTCCTCTCTCTCAAATCCATTTGCAGGGATAATGCAACCACCTCATATATAGTCTTTACCGGGTGCCAGGCTCTGTCTAAGAGCTTTATCCTCTGAGGCATCACTTTTAGCTTCCTCTTCAGAAGAAACTGAAGAACAGAGAGGTTAAACAGTTCACTTGGAATCACAGCCCTAACAAGCAGTGTGTTGGGGGTCAATAGCCTTGACAACCTGGTTCTAGAATCTATGCTGTCCACTGCTTCTTGGAAAGTATATTTGATTGCATCTGCAAAGATATCTTTCACCCATCCCTTTGATCTTCTCCACCAATGCCTCACATGCATCAAGCCCCACCATCCCAACTTGGACCACGGCTAGAGCCCCTAACTGGTCTTCCATTTCCACTCATCCCTTTCACTCTGTCTTCTGCTCTGCAGCTGGAATGTTGCTTTAAAAATGGAAATAGGGGCTTCCCTGGTGGCGCAGTGGTTGAGAGTCCGCCTGCTGATGCAGGGGACACGGGTTCATGCCCCAGTCCTGGAAGATCCCACATGCCACGGAGCGGCTGGGCCCGTGAGCCATGGCGCTGAGCCTGCGCGTCCGGAGCCTGTGCTCCGCAACGGGAGAGGCCACAACAGTGAGAGGCCCGTGTACCGCAAAAAAAAAAATGGAAATAGGATCGGGTCACCCCCCCCACCCCCGAACCCTGCCGGCAAGCACATACATACACACACGCTCAGCCCTAGAATAAAACCCAGATGCATTCCCCAGCCTCCAGGGCAGCCTCTCTGGCTTCTTCCTAAAAGCCACTTCCCCATCCAGACCCACCCCCTGCACCCCAGTCACCCAGCCTCCTTTCACTTCCTCAACGACAGAGCTTTTTCTCACCTTAAGGCTTTGGCACATGCTGTTCCCTTGAGCTCGAATGCTCTTCTTCCACCCTGCAGGGCTGGATTCTTCTCATCCTCTGGTCTTGGCTTTCATATCATCTCTCTGGAGAAAGCTTCCCTGGTGATCTCACCTGAAGGAACAAGTCCCCTAAGCCCATTTTCCTTTTTGTCCTTTATAGTATTAATTAAAATTGTGCATTTATCGCCCATTACTCATTAAATGTCTCTTTCCCTCACTAGACTCTAAATGTCATGAGGTCAAAGACCATGTCTATTTTGTTCCCCATTATTTACCCAGTGCCTAGCACAGCACCTGGCATGTGGCGAGCTCTCATTAACTCAATGACTGCTCATAGAAAGGACGAATTGTCCACAGAGGGAGGCATTCATTGGTGAGGATCTTTGGCAAAGTATCCAAGCTTCAGCCAGAGCTGTTCCATCCTCCTCCTGCATGTCTTCACTTCCTCTTCCCTGTCCCGAAGCAGTGACAGAGGTCTAGGGTCTAGAAGGAAACCAGGAAGCCATGGGTGAGAATGTAAGCAGGTTTTGCTTCAGGCGCCAACTCAGTCAGGGTAGATGATGTCATATCGGGGGCACAAGGGAGACTCGTTACCCCCAAGGCCCCCCTGCACAGTTCCTGGATTCCTACCATGAGAGACTTCTGGCCACGAGGAATCTCCTAGTGAAAGGCAAACACTCACTATCCAGTTAATAACACACATCTAGCAGGTGGACTGAATGGCTGAGGGCTCTACCTTTCTGACAGCAGCATGGTGGTGGCCTGGAAGTCTAGGTGTCACCACTAACTAGTGGGTGACCTTGGGTGAGAGTCACTTCTTGCCTCCCATCTGCAAAGTGAGTGGTTAGGATGGAGAAGAGGTTTTTAAACTGCTTTTTCCTCAGAAGCTCAAGTCTTCAACTTGTTCAGATGACCAATATAAGTCAAGTGTTTCTGGTTGAAATAGGGATGTGGGGCTGGAGCGGTCCTCCTCCCTGACTCCCGCTTTTAAGTCCCAAGGGTGGTGGGAGGGCTGAGTCTTGGACTCCAAGATCTCAGCGGTCAGTGCCTGCCAGGCTGACCATCTGTGTCATCTAAGGACAAAGAAGGCAGCCGGGCTCGCATGTTCTGGGTGTAGCTCCTTGGGCACATTAAGTGATCGGAAGGGGATGGGAGAGGACTTGTTGAATCTGATATTCAGAGAGTATTCAGAGACTTTAGGCTGTGCAGCAGGTGAATTTCATAGCAATTGAAGGGCAAGGCAGGCAGCCCCTTTGTTTGAGAAGGAGGTTTCAGCCATTTTAGAAAAGAAATGAGGGCCCAGGAGAGAGGAAGCCCAGAAGGCTCGCTCACCCTCTCCACAATCTAGAAGAAGGAAATTGCCACCCCTGCCTTTCCGGGCCAGGGATCCCAGGTCTTGAAGAGACCACCCACAATCTCACAGATAACTAGGCTTCCAGGGTTGGTTGTTTGCCACGCCCCAGGGGAACACAGGTCCCTCACCTCACTACCCGCTACCTGGGCAGCTCTCTGGCCTTCGCTGCAGGCAGGTGCGCTCAGGAGACTGCCGCCTGGGCTACCTGGCAGCTCCAGGTGCTGCGTGGACGCTGCTATGGAGACGGGCCCCGGAGTTGGTGGTGAGAAGGCAGTCTCCCAAAGCTTTGCAGATTCTGGAGGGGAAGAGGCTGGAGCCTCAGGCCCTTCAGGGTAGTCTGCCTGACAGCCGTAGTGCCAAGGAAGGCCAGGTGGGCACTCTGGGAGTTTCTAGGACAAAGTCAGGGTGGGGGGAGGAGCCAGGGGAGGCCAAATTTTGGGAGGAGGCTCTGGAAGGGCTGATCTGGGCAGGGGAGCCTCTCCATGTTTCCAGGTCAAGGGGAAAAGCCTTCCCAGAGCCCCCCTTGCCAGGCCAGTGCAGTGCCCTGCACAAAGACTGGGCCAGTGGCACTGAGGATTGGCCCTGCAGCCCAAGGGGAGGAGGGAGAGAGGGCCTGGCTTTTGCCCCCAAAGGAGGGATAGACCAGGGAATTCACAAAGCCCATCTCTGGGCTAGTCAGGATCCAAGGCAGCAGGGAAGGAAATATTTGCCCTGTAGCAGGAAGCACTGACTGTGGCTCCTCTCCCTCTCCCTGGAGCCCAAGAGGCCAAGGGCAATCACGTGCAGCACAAGGAGCATTTTTATCCATTTCCAAAGCCAGGGTGCCGTCTCCTTGAGGGAGCTCGATGAACGTGGGGTGCCTGAGGCCTGGGCCCGGTAGAGGGGATGCTGCAGGAGCACCACACCTAATTCTACGGCTTACGGACTGGGTGATCTGAAACAATTGCTTCATTTTTTTTTAAATTTTTATTGGGGTATAGTTGATTTACACCTGTTAGTTTCAGGTGTACAGCAAAGTGAATCAGTTATACATATACATATATCCATCCTTTTTTTAGATTCTTTTCCCATATAGGCCATTACAGAGTATTGAGTTCCCTGTGCTATAAAGTAGGTCCTTATTAATTATCTATTTTATATATAGTAGTGTGTATATGTCAATCTCAATCTCTCAATTTATCCGTGCCCCCCTTACCCCCTGGTAACCATAAGTTTGTTTTCTACATTTGTAACTCTATTTCGGTTTTGTACATAAGTTCACTTCACCTTTTGAACCTAAGTTTTTTCATCTGTGAAATGTGGGCGATAATACCTTTTAACAACCCACAGGACACAGCCTAGGGCCAATACAGGCACGGAGCTTAATGGGTGTTCCTTTGCTCCTTTTCCCTTTCTGCCAGGACGTCTCCTGCCAGACCTCCCAGTGTCTGGTCTGAGGATGGCGGAGAAGCAGGGCCGGGAGCCGGAGTGCCCTGTGTGCTGGAACCCCTTCAACAACACGTTCCACACCCCCAAAGTGCTGGACTGCTGCCACTCCTTCTGCGTGGAATGCCTGGCCCACCTCAGCCTGGTGGCTCCGGCCCGGCGCCGGCTGCTGTGTCCGCTCTGTCGCCAGCCCACTGTGCTGGCCTCCGGACAGCCTGTCACTGACCTGCCCACGGACACTGCCGTGCTCACCCTGCTCCGCCTGGAGCCCCACCACGTCATCTTGGAAGGCCGCCAGCTCTGTCTCAAAGATGAGCCCAAGAGCCGCTACTTCCTGCGCCAGCCCCAGGCCTACACGCTGGAACTCGGCCCCGGGCCTGGGAGCCAGACTGGGCCCCCCCAGGACGTGGCCCCTAACACCATCCCCAGCCCCATCCCCATCCCCAACCACGACTCTCTGAGGGGGTGTTTCCGCAACCCGCAGTTCCGGATCTTTGCCTACCTGCTGGCTGTCATCCTCAGCGTCACTCTGTTGCTCATCTTCTCCATCTTTTGGACCAAGCAGTTTTTTGGGGGTGTGGGGTGAGCATCTGTTCCAGACAAAGAACCAAGCCTTTCTTGGTTGCTGCTGGGTATGAGGACTGCAGACCCTCATTTGGGGTCATCTTCCTTTGTAGTATTGTTCTTTTTTACAATCCAGGGGTCGGCTAGGCTGTGCATCTGCTTCTGGGAACGGAGACAGTCCTACTATAATGAGAACCTCTGAAAGCTAATGGGAAAAGATACGAAGAGAGCTCTGGGTGTGAACCACGGGTCACGGAAGGGCCGAGAAGCAGATCTGTGATGCCAGGGCTACGTAGTATGTTGTACCAAAGGGCTGGGCGATGGCATCCAGGAACCTGACCCACTCAGACAGCAAGCTGCAATTCTTACTGGAGCTGCTTTGAACTCAGTTCACATTTTTTCGAGTTGCTCTTTCTATTATTTGTTGCTAAAAAATTTGGAAAGTGAACTTCAATTGTGAGCAACTGTGTTTGTCTTCCCCTTTCAGTTTTCTCTTTGGATGTTTTGCCACCAGTCCCAGTAAAAATGGCCTGCATTCATTAATTCATTCACTCACTCATTCAACAACCAGTTGGCTTGTCCTCTGTCAGAACTAGAGGGAGAGAAGGGTAGGATGAACCAGGGCTGGCAGAGTCCTTACCAGCAAGGAGGGCACGTTCACTCAGCTGCTTCTTGTACAAGACGACCTCTTGTCAGTGCGTGGTTTATGGAGTGTTAAGAGCAGAAAAGTTTAAAGGTGAAAGAAACCAGAGTCAGTGATCAAAAGAAATCTGGGATTTGGAGGAAAAGATTTTTATTCCTCCTGGTAGGTGCGGGGTGGAGCTCTGATTCCCCTCCTCCAACCATTGTAATTCTGGCCTTGAGAGGTAAGGCAGGGAACTCCCTGGTGGCCCAGTGGTTAGGACTCTGTGCTTCCACTGCAGGGGGCACGGGTTTGATCTCTGGTCGGAGAACTAAGATCCCACATGCCGTGTTGCATGGCCAAAAAAGAAAAAAAAAAAGACATAAGGCAGAAACCCCGGATACAGTAAAAGCCTTAGTTCCCATCCCAGGCCATGCAGGCAGGGGATTCTGGTTTTCATTTTGCATGACAGAATCTAGGAACCAAGGAAAACTAGATAGAATTTGGATGCTGCTTGACTACAGGTTGCCACCTCTGCAGTATCTAAAACCCTGATTTCTTCTTCACTTTTAATACTGCCTGGTTGCTCAGGGCTCTGAAACAATCTCAAAATGGTTAAAACACCATCACAAAAAGATAACATTTTGTTTTTCGGGATTTGCAGAATAAGCTTTCAGAGGCCAGAAATTGGTTTTATTTGCTCTAAGTAACATTTTGTAAGTTTAATGAAACCAGCTTCTATAAACTCTTCGGGGTCTTAATGTACAAGATATTCCAAAATAGTCAAGACATACATACTTCATGTTTAGTAAAACCAAACAGTCTTAAGCTCCACTGTGAAGAAAAAGTTCTCCATTATGAAATTGGAAAGCCGCCTACATATCCTGCCAGGGGACTAGCATCTGCCTCTCCATTTGCACCACTGAAGATAATTATACTAAGGCTGGGACTGGATGTCTCCTCACGGGCTTCATTTCTTTACACATCCTTGCTCCTTAACTCTTGTGCTGGGTAAATTAGGCAATGATCTCACCATGTTCTCAGAGCCAATGAGGAACAGAGAGGAGCCAGGGGAAGTTCAGGGAAGAACACTTGCCTCTGTACTAGGGACTACTGCTCCTGAGTTAAGCAGGCTTCGTCACAGATGAAATTGATGCTCCCCAAGTTTAGTTACCTTGTTCAAGGTCACCCAGCTAGCATGTGGTGGAGGCCTTTCAGTCAAAATAGAACACTCTTGGGGTGGCTGATTCACCAAACAAGACACAGCTTTG